CCATCCTGATCTTTCAATGTCCGTAAAATTGAATGATCTTTTAGACTATGTATATAAACAGATAGTATCAAAAGGATTTCCCAGAATAATGTCATCTCCGATTCTACGGAGGGCTTAAATTGTCACTTTTCAGCTAAAAATCGTCGAAAATTCAGGTAAAAGACAAGAGTTTTTTCCCAAATTCCTTTTGGCCTCGTTTTTATCTTTATATTAACTTTTAACTAAGTTAAACTATCTGCATAATATTAGGAAGATTGAGAGATCAGGGTGTCTAGACGTCGCCCTGTGCCCTTTGACCTGAATTTTCGAAGATTTTTTAGCTGAAAACTGACAATTTAAGCCCTCCGTAGATATCGAAGATGACATTATTCTAGGAAAGCCTTTTGATACCATCTGTATATATACATAGTATAAAATATCATCGAATTTTATTGACATTGAAAGACCAGGGGGGTCTCACCGTCATTTAAGCGGTCTCCGGTAGGTTTTCACTATATATTTTGAATATCAAACTGGCACTTTGAGCCCTCCGTAAACATAGAAGACAAGAATGTTTCCCAAATTCCTTTTGGCCTCGTTTGTATCTTTATATTAACTAACTATCTGCATAATATTATGAAGATTGAGAGATCAGGGGGTCTCAGCGTCATTAAAGCGGTCTCCGGTAGGTTTTCACTATATATTTCTTCTTCTTTTTTTTTTGGCTTTCCATAATTATTTCTATTTATATTTTTAAATGTTACTAGAGTGATCGTTTTTTGTTTTTGTTTCTAGAAATATCATATGTAAAAGTACATCTTTGTTGTCGTTTTATTGATAAAAATCTGTATTTCATAAATTTCATAAAGACAAATGTGCGATTTACATAAGGGTTTATATCTGGTCAACGAGAATTTACGACAGCTTGAAGGGATCATAAAACGATTTCCTACATATCTTTTCACTCCTTTTAACTATGACTATTTTGCTTTTAATGTTATCGAATATTTGAATTTTTATGATTTTTAACTTAATTTGAATATCGAACCGACTGCTAGCAGCTGGTTGGATATTGAATATCGAATAACGAATAATGAACCGGCTGCTAACTTCACATTCATGTAAATAGTATCATCTAAAAATGTAAAAAAAATCAGATCCACATTTATAATTGTGTATGTGTCTTTTTTTATTTCATATAGTAAATGCATAAAAAGATATGTAGATAATAATACGTCAAATAGACAGAAACCAAACTACACAAAAAGCCCAAAAGGTTCTCTGGAAGGTTATGAATATCCTGTTCCACTAGTGGAACCCGCAATGTTGCTCATGTTATGAAATCAAATAATAAGAAGGAAAAAAAACCAAGACACTACCATAACAAAACAAAACGATGGAAAGACAGGCAACAGTCTAATAAACACTACTCAGAAAACTAAACACTGAGTAACACGAATGTCCAAATATACCACTGGTCACTTTTAAGAAAAACTTTCATTATTGGCAATTGCTTCTGATGGATGAAAAGGGCTCTTCTTCCCATAAATATTTCTCCCTGTTGGTAACTGAATTTTGCATAACATGAGCAACATTGCGGGTTCCACTAGTGGAACAGGATACTCCTAACCTTCCAGAGAACCTTAGTTCACGCCTAGATTTTATTTGAGGGGAGACGTTTTAGTTTTGCTTTAGTTTTCTGTATTATCTTTTGTGGTATTCAATGTCTTTGTCATAAGAAAACGGTTTTATTTCAAATTGAAAATATATAGATTAGGAGACTTAACATGTTCCGATGTTTTATTTTGGTTATGTCTTATGTATAGATATAGCGAGGAAGATTTGCCAATCTGCAAATTTATGCTTAATTATAACGGGTTATGACTCTCCAACGGATTTAAACTGAAGTTTCACCACTGGTGTTACTAATTGACTTGTGAAAATCCCAAATCCGTACGTACAACGTCCTTTTTGAACTGTTTATCCTTCCAGAGCACATGTTTCGCCAGTTTTAGTTTAGGTTCGTGTTGCTCAGTTATGTAGTGGTCTGTGATGTTTTTTGTGGTCCATTGTTTTTCTTTTCGTCTCTTTTGTTTGCCATGTCATTTTTTGTCGGTCTTTTTTTTGTCTTTTTTTGTCTTCTATTATAAGTTTGTTTTGATTAAAATAACAAACTTTGTATTTTCATTCTCCAAATATTGAGTCATGAATTTTATATGTTGTAGTAATACGATGAACTTTTAAAAAAAAAACGTACAAGAGTTACTTATCAAGATAACATATAAAATCCAGAATCGACCAATCACAAACGTTGTTGCAAATTTGACCTTGTGACGTCAAACAATCCCCCATAATGCATATAAATAAAAAACTACTAAACATTGCAAATTAAAGTTAAACCGACAAATATACCAATTGAAATGCATTAAAATGACAAGTTATACCAATTAAATAAAAAATATTGCATTTGAATGACAAATTATACCATCTGAATAAAAAATATTGCATTTAAATGAAAAAATATACCATTTAAATAAAAGAATATTGCATTCAAATGAAGAAATATACCAATTAAATAAAAAATATTGCATTTAAATGAAAAATATCAAATTTTTGCAACCAATACCATGCCATACTAATTGTAGTTTTTTTTTTTTCATTTCTGTTTAATGTACAAGTCAAAAACCGACTTTATTACCGTAGACACCAATTTAAACTTAATATACATATATACAAACTACATTTTACCTCGATATGCTGTACAGCTATGAACATTTACGGTCCTACATTCTGTCGATACTTATATGTTGGCATTGCACTCGATCATGTTTTCATCTGACTGTTTATGTCGTTTTTAATCTAAATCCATTGGATGTGTGCTGGTTGATATTTTATATAAAAATAAGGAGATGAGGTATGATTGCCAATGAGACATATAATTGCTTATATCCACTTCATTTGGATTCTGGTTGATAGTTGTTTCATTTTAATCCGTCATTTTCTACATAAAGAAAACATGATACATGATCTGGATACATGATTTTGTATTAGTCGTTATTGGCTTTGAACTATAGCGAGTACTCTCAGATCGGTAGGTTGTCTTTTTGATAGTGTTGTTTTTGTGCTTTGTGTCGATCTGATGAGTAAATATAAAAATAAGGAGATGTGGTATGATTATCAATCAGACAACTATCCACCAAAGTTCAAATGAAGTGGAAGTAAGCAATTATAGGCAACCGTACGGCCTTCAACAATGAGAAAAACCCATACCGTATGGTCGCCTGTAAAAGGCCCCGACATGAAAAATATGAAACATTCAATTGAAAACGGTCTAATTTATAACAAAACAATTTACGAAAAACAAATATGACAGACATGAAACAACGACAACCACTAAGCATGTTTCAACTGATTTTTAGAGTTTGTTCTTATGTTGTGCTTTTACACAACTGTCACAGGTTGGGTGAGGGTAGAGCGCTCGCTAACATATTCAACATCTCTGCATTCTGTTTGTGCTTGTCCTAAGTGAGGAACCTGTAATTCAGTGGTTGTCTTTTGCTGCTGTATATTATATTTGTTTTTCGTTTATTATTTTGTACATTAACAAGCCTTTAGTGTTCTCTTTTGAATTGTTAAACATTTGTCATGTCGGGCCCTTTTATAGCTTGTTATGCTGTAATGGATTTTGCTCATTGTTGAAGGCCTTAAGTTGACCTCTAGTTGGAAACTTCTACGACATTTGGTCTGTTGTGGAAAAATCGTACCACATCTTTTTTTATGCTTCCTTTTTTATGTTATTTGTTTTGTTTATTATTGTTAATTTAACATCAGCACTGAACAAAGGAACTGAACGTACTATACTGTTTGACCAGATCTATAGTATATATTAAAAATTAGGAAATCATTGTCAGCGGCGGACGGGTATTTTAAATAAGAATAAATGATTTCGCTTAATCACCCCATTATATACCTTTGCATAGAATGTAGGGAGACCTACAAATGTCTTTGAAAAACAAAAGCGTTTTCTATTGGTAAAATTAGGAAATGTTGGCAAAAAACGAAAAAGACCAAAGGACAAACAACAATATACAAAACACAACATAGAAAACTAAAGACTGAGCAACACCAACTCTACCAAAACCGGGGGTGATCTCAAGATTATAGAATCTGTAAAGAGATATAATCGTCAGTCTTATGTATTTTCTGTTGTCTTGCACGCCAACAATCATGAAAAGTTTTTCAAATAAGTATATGTTCGACTATACGTGTGTTTTTTCTCATTGTTGAAGACCATACAGTGACCTGTAATTGATTATATCCACTTCATTTGGACTCTGGTGGATAGTTGTTTCATTTTAATCCGCCATTTTCTACATAAAAAAATGTCTGTACCAAGTCAGAAATATGAGAGTTGTTTTTCATTCGTTTGATGTGTTTGAGCCTTTGATTTTGCCATTTGATCAAGGACTTTCCGTTTTGAATTTTCCTTGGAGTTCAGTATTTTTGTTATTTTACTTGTTTTCTCATTGGCAATCATACTGCGTCTCCTTATTAGTTGTATAATGTATCAATAGTTTGTTATTCTAAATATATTGTAACTGAATCCATAGTTCTATTGAATTACTGAATCCATATAAGGCATTTCAATGAGTTATACAATTCTGACAGAAATTAATTTCTGAAATCCTGCTTATCTGATTAAATTATTTCTCATAAAAGTTGTTTTTATCATTAAATATCTTTGGCGACAAATTTGTACTTTTCCTGGTAAGGTTTCGAAGTCTAACAGACGACAAATCTTAAACGACATTGTGGCTTGTGGAATGGAAAGGTTTTAAAGTTTGTTGAATATTCTAATTGAGATTCATCCACAGAAATCCTGGGTAGTCACTCAAAGTTTTATTGTCATGCTAAATTTTCAAACTCTAACTGATAAACAATATGCACTCCCTTTTCCTTGACATAAAAACCTAGATAAACTTTTGTTTACGTCCGTGTTTACGTATTCATTTGATTTTTTATAAACAGTGGTAAATTGTATAACTATCAGGAAATATCCTGCACAGTGTATGCAGAGAGATTGCATGTTAGAGATTGGTTTAGGTTCCCAAACTTTTTGGACAGTAAACAATTTTAAAATTTGTAAAAGGAAGTAAGCTGTAGGTCATATGACGTCAGTTTTTATATTATAAGTTGGATTTGTAAATAAACGAATGAAGGAATAAAAAAAAATAGGATAGGCTTTACTTTGACAGACAAGGTGAGAAACCTTAAACATTTATTAATTAGTGTATGAGATGAAATAGACATGTATATTTATACTGCATTTATGAAACTATATTATTAATGATGTTACATTGATTGCTAGAGAATAGTACAAGGTTTAGAAAAAATAAAGTTTGTATAAATCTCTTATATATAATCTAAAAAAACACTGTTATCTAATTATTTAGAATACAGATTTATTTATCAAATACAAATAGAAATAGGTTAAGCTATAAATTGCGGGTTCATTAATAAATATCTAATATTTTCTGCAAAAGAATGAAGAAATATATTTTTCCAGAAAGGATATGCTTAATCTTCTTTTTATTTCTGAAGCAGGTACATGCATATTGTATTAAAAAAATATTTTTTGACTCTTTTCTAGTTTATTTTTTTCTCATTTATATTTCATTCTTTTGAACAAAACATAATATAAGACGTTTACTTTAAACCTCAAAATATGTCAGGGCATTGAAAGAAATATTTGTGTAGATGAGAGCATTTTCTCAGTATTGACTCTTTCCCTATTGAGCAGACATCACTTTCATTATGATCTATGGTATTGTCCGAAAGAAAACTGATATAAAGAACCATCTGTTTTTACATTCAATTATCTATTTGTATATAATTTCTGTAGTTATTTTTTATTTGACAAGTCAAATGTAAACATATGGGATTTGTACAAAGTACATTTTTTTCTGTCATATTTTCAAAATAATTTACAGAATGTCATGGGCGCAATAACTTGTCATTTAGAAGGGTCATATAAAAACGACCTAACTATTATGTGTATGACACAAAAATATGATTTTTAAATTTTCAGTGTTCCTAGAAATCAGCCAATAATTGTTGTTCCTCCAATGCTAGCTGTATCGATTTTCTCCAATTGAAGCACAGAAACAACTTACTTCTGTTTTTTGCCCATTATTAAATCGTAATTATAAAAAAGAAAATGGGGACGAATTGACACTCACAGTTTCATACCAGTGTACTTTCATTCTGTGAAATAGTGTATCCATAATCTACTTATTTGTACAAATTAGAACTGGTAAGAAAGTACCGTTGTGAAAATGCCATGTTTAGTTTCTTTGGTTAAGTTTATTTTTTATCAACAGTAATATATATTATCGCAGACTTGAAAATACCAATTGTTCAACGGTTTTCCTCAGAAAGCACACTGCAAATTTAATCAGGGTCATCTGAAAAAGCTAATGATTACTAGACGATTTTATCCATAAATGTCTAGAATTTTATTTTTCCACACCTTTTCAAAAGATCTTGAAAGTCTTTGTGTTTTAATCCCATCACAAAGGATGTCCCAGACTAAATAGTTTATCATTTGTTTGGGTTTTAAAAAGCATTTAGTTTGAAAGCAGTTGATACATAGCCCAAAAACATTTCGTTTAAATGTACATAATGTTAATTTCAATGTTATCAAGTTTACTTACAAATTACCTTATAAAATCGTGAGATCAGACAATAAAAATTCATTTATTTATTTATTTATATATTTTTTATTCAATTATTTATTTAATATGCAAAAAAAATAATAATGTATAATGATTATAAATAGTGGGTTTCATGAAACAATAGTATATGGTTACACAAATTATTTTTCAGGGTACACTTGAGTTGTTTTTATGGATGGTTTCTACCAGACAAATCTAGCATACCACAATGGCTTATGGTGCAAAGTTCTGCTTCGAGAATATGGTACTTCCAACTGTGTTATTACGAGAACGACATGTCATGATGAAGGTCGACTCGTCGTGTGAAAACAAACAACACCCACGCAGAGATATTTGAATAAAATTTATGAATGAATCACGTAGTAAAAGTTCACAGTTAGCAGGTTAAGCCATATTTATATTTTGAATGAAAGGAGTATCATAAAAAGAGGAATATCACCTGATATTAACCAATCAGGAGGCAACGTTTTTAAATGCCACTATTTACAAATAAATCTTACAGCCAGGTTGTGTTGAGCGGGAGGATTGGATACAAGGTAGGGCTTAGACATGCAGTATAAATGATTTCTACACAATATTTTAATTGATAATAAAGTACAATATATATAAATATTTTCAGGCATTTCTTAAATATGGAAATCAACCCAAATCTCTTGTGTTGTTATATTCAATTTGGATTCAATATATATATATGTATGCATGATCGAGATGCGGACGGAATGTTTAAATAGAACCTGCTTGGAAAGATAGTTGCAGTTATATGGCCAATATTTTTTTCTATTCAAAATAAATTGTGATTGAACTGTGCTAATGGATACCTACCTCTCTTAAAGTCAACTACATCATAATAATATTATTTATTTGTTTATTCAACGTTATTTTGGTGATTGTAATAACTAATATATATGCTGTAAATATGATATTTTCAAGAGCAGATTAAGATATTTGACTTGTCTTCCTACGGCGTTTTTCTACAAAATTGGTTACAATTCAGTAGCAATCCTGACAATGAAAAAAACAACTAAAAAAATATATATATATAATTTATGTGTTTTCAAATGATAATAAAAACACGATACTGACACCAATGCAATGATTTATTTTACTTATGAATCTCCTTAAATCGCCTTATGAACAACACTTATCTGTCTGAATGTTATCATAAAATAATTGAGAAAAAGCCAAGTGTTCATAAAAGAGAACAAATTAATTCTGGTCAACAAGTTCACGTCGGAAAGCAGAGCAAAAAAGGGGATGTTTTTATAAAAAAAAAAATATCATTGCTTCCATGCCGTACAACCATTGACATATAAAAAGCCTAATACGCATATATGACAGTTTGGTCGCCCTGGAACGATTTAGCACGATCGTCTGAAAATCGAACACTTGCTTATTGACTGCATGTGTCTCTTACTTGAAACATTTCTTTCCGTTAAAATTTGCTAAATATTCTAAAAAAAATAAAGTTATGTTTTATTATGTTTTTTTTTAATAAATTGAAGTTATAATATATAAGTTAACTTGTGCTAACCCATGTCAGTGATTCAGAAAGACTTGATGACTATGATCAAGAAGGAAAAGTGGCCAGCCTTCTGAAAAGTCAAGTCATCTCTAGTGAAACAATTGTGTGCATACTTTGCATATATGTACTTATTTTTACAAATTTGAATTGTACAAAGTAAAAAAAAAACATTTATCATTTGTATACTTGTGAATCCTGACATGTTTTATTTTATCGATCATGAACACAATTTAACATTAATTATTTAGTTAAAAAAAATGAAAAAAAAACACTTTATAAAATGCATGCGTCCGAAGCGCTTTTCTGGATGTACCTTCACCAGGAACGCTTAAAGCCTAATATTTGAAAACCAAGGATATATAAGGTTCATATCAATATGGTTCTTGTATATCCTTGGTTTTCAAATATTAGGCTTCAGGCGTTCCTGGGGAAGTTACATCCAGAAAAGCGCTTCGGACGCATGAAATTTATAAAGTGTTGTTTTCATTTTTTTAACTAAATAATTAATGTTAAATTGTATAATATTTATACATATGTTTAGCGTGCACGTGTTTTTGTAACAAACTATCAAACTATTAACAATAAAATTTAAAAACATGTACATTCAGAACAGGAAAACTTGAAAACGGCCCAAACTGTGAAAACCTAACTCTTCCTTATACATGTACACTTGGGGTAATTGCAAATGCAATTTTGATTTAGGTCATACGTTTTATAGAATTTATCACGCTCTTTCCATAACTAGTATGTGTACTGAAGGGATAATATAAATATGAATAAAACACATCAAGAGGAATTGAGCTTTTTTTACTTAATTGAACCGTATACTTTCTATCATTTTGGTTAACGGAGAAAAATCAGCAACTGCAATCATGAACAGACTTTCGTAATATAACCACCGAAACCATTATATGTGTATGTATAGCATTTGTCTTCTCCTTATCTTTGTTCATTGGTTAAAGAAAAATAAAGTTATCGTTGTTATTCAAATATAGGAATTGTAAATGAAAGTTACTATTTAGGACCAGATTTTGCACATTTTTTAAAAAACATAATCATGATCTGTTGGTGCAATTGATGCTAAATGTATAAATCAGTTAAATGACAGATATTTCAGGTTTTTTTTTTCAAAATCAAACATAAGCAGCATTCCAGTATCGAGTATTGATAAACATGTATTTTATAGGGCGCATAGCATTTGCGCCAATTTTTACAAAATAAAATCTTTCATTTGCGCCACAACTCTATATTTCAATTGCGCCAAAAATGAATGCGAAATTTGTACAATCAACTGGTAAGATATAACGGAAAAGTTAAAATATTCTTTGTATCCTGATTAAGACCCCTCCCTCCCCTTTTTGACATGCCTTATCAGATTGAAATTGTTGATGATATTATGAATAAATCTCCGTCAGATAATAGATGTATGTGAAGTTTGTTGACTATGTTTTGGAAACATATGTAAACCCTGAATCAAAATATCCACCACCATTCTGTGCCGCTGGACCAACTGAGAATTTCACAAGAACCAACAACGACTCGTTCCATGCATATTTTAACGAGCAGTTTTATTCAAAATATTCACACATTTTTATTTATGTGGACGTAGTAAGGAAGATTCAGACAACAACGTACATAAAAATGAGATCCCTAGACACACCGGGTGTAGTTAGACGATATGAGAATGAAAAAAAAAAACGGACTATAGATATTGTTATGAGAAATATAGTATACACCTTAGAGGCGAAATTTTCCGACATGAGTACATCCGGACAGTTGCTTACAAGTTTTGTTCTAGTACAGACTTATAATTTTATTTCAGTGCATAGTGCTAAGAACAGACTTATAATTTTACTTTTTGTTTTATGATCCCGGTGATTTATAATCAAACTATCTTTTTAATAAATACATTATTTATACATGTACTATCACCTGTATTTTTGGCGCAAATGAAATAGGGTTTGTGGCGCAAATGAAATGTCGATTGGCGAAAAAGCAAAGCACCGATTTTGTAAAAATAAAAACAACTTCCAAATGGAACATTCAGGGCACTTTTATCTTCTGTCATACAGACATATGAAAAATGATGTCGAACTCTCGCAAATTTAGATATATGAGAAACACATTTTTTGTATCAGTCTAATGTCTCATTATTTATATCGTCCTGAATATGCTGCATTTAATTTGCCGCTGGACGTTGAGTAGCCATCAATCATCATCTTTATTTATAAAGTTGTCATTAACTTATTTATTTATAATACTTATATATATAAAGTATATTATATACCAAAAAAATAGCAGTTTGATAATTTTTAAATTGCTGCGTATTTATTTACACATCCCTAATAAATAGCGATGTGTAAATACACAGCCTCTGTTGTAATTACGTTACGTTCGTCAAATGTGAAATTTGAGTATTATACCAGTGCTATTCATTGGGAATGTATTTCTATGCAGTCCTTGTTGTAATAAATCAACTTTCGTCAAATGTGAAATTTTAGAAATGTACCAGTTCATATCGCACATTACTATTTTTGTTAGAAGCATATCTATGCAGTCTCTGTTGTAAATACCTAACCTACGTCATTTTTGAAATTTTAGAATTGTACAAGCGTTATTCGGTTTTAATTGTATAAATTTAAAGATTTTTATAGTTAAATCAGAATAGATTGATATGATTCATTTTACATCATAATCATATACTGATGAAGGATATCTGCTATCTGAAATATTTATAGATACGTACATTTAATGTTTTCTTTTTTTTTAATATTGGTGTTGTTTTGTACACTTTTTAGGCGTTTATCTATATATTTATACATATATATATATATTTCATTTGCTTGATAACTTCTTGGATTTCATTTGTCAAGGGTTTTTCCTGTTCAAGAATTGTTGCTGTAAACGTAGTTTTCTTTTGTTGTATGCAGCGATGCGTCTCAAATCCATCCTCGTTCATATGATCTATTTGTTTTAAAAATGCAGTCGTACTTCTCATGCTTATGTTTCAAACCTTGTCTTGTTCCTTACTATTATATTAAGAGCATTTCGTTTATCTTGGTATATACTCTCGTACTCTCGTAAGATGTTTACCACGCGTTTTTTACATCTACTTTCCGTTTTGAATGTCTTAGCATATACTCTCGAAAGGTGTTCAACACGCGTTTTTTCGTTTACTTTTTTATTTGGAATGTCTCTGTATGCACTTTTGTAATGTGTTTACCACATGTTTTTATATCCCCCACCTTAAATATGGTCTGTATTGCAATCATCTCGTCCGTTCGTCCGTCCGTCTGTTAGTCAGCCCAACAAATATTTTCGTCGCACTTTTCTCAGGAACCACTGAATAGCATGACTTCATATTTGGTAAGCACCTTAACAGTGTTAAGTCCTAACGTGTGAGTACATTTCAGATCTGCCAGACATTTACTTCCTATTTCCCACAACTTTAAGTATTTCAATATGTTGAATGAACTTTAAAACTTTTCGTCAATAATTTATCTCGTACTACTGAACATAATGACTACATATTTGGTCATCAGCTTCATAGCGATGAGTTGTAATGTGTTAGCGCTTTTTAGATCACTGGGACACCTATTTCCTGTTTGTCGATACTTTGAATTTTTCAACATGTTGAATGAAAACAAATATTTTCGTCACACTTTTAGAAAAAAATAATTGAGACAAAATATCAATCGCTACATATCCAATGGATTTAGTTTATTTCACAAATCTGACCAGTAGCTTGACAAGGATGAGTTGTAACGTGTGAGCGGGTTTTTTTTTATCTGTCGGACACCTACTTCCTGTTTTCCAATACTTTGAATTACGAATAATTTACAAGTAACTTAGCTTGTTGCTGTTTGTTGTTTCGTTTACTTTCTGTTTAGAATGTCTTAGTATATACTCTCGTAAGATGTTCACCACGCGTTTTTTTTTCTCAGTCATAAGAGTATCTACACTTATAAAAAAATTTCATTGAAGTCTCATTCGCTCATAAATTGAAATATGAGT